GGTAGTGACGTCCCGCTGTCAATCATTAACTCTATTTCCTTTTTATTGCTTAAAGAAATTATCTCAATGAACATATAAATTATGCCTAAGAGTGCACCACCACCACCTCCGCCGCCGCCGCCGATACCACCACCGCCACTACAACCAGCAACAACGTCATCGTCGACTCCAAAGCAAAAAAGTAACTACACTCGATTAAGCAGACTTTTAATCGATATTGGGACAAGAGTTTTGAGAGGTCTCTTTGATTCATTAGTCTTACATTTGAATGGTGATCTTCGAAAACATCTCAACTCCACCGCTGTACACAATAAGCTGAAAACCCTTAAAAATAAAGGAGTCCTGAGAGTAAAACAATGGGTAAAGTTATACCCAACAGCACCAGGAGTSCCATCGTCGTCTACCTTCGACATAACATTGCTCTTCCTTCTCCTACGGAATACCTGTGGCCTTACTGCACCCACTACAGGTTGGAATGCTGCCCCACCTCCAGCTGATATTAGCAAAGAGGCTGATCTGATTCGAGTAAAAGAATGTCGAAATGAAATCACTGGTCATAGCCCCGAGGCAAAACTCTCCGATATCGAATTCGAGAYTCAGTGGGTTGAAATTRAGSCAGCATTATTAAGGCTTGCGCACTCATATCGTCATGTCAGTGATTATGGGACACAAATCGAGCGTCTGAAAGAGATCGAGTCGATGGATCCACTAAATGAAGCCGACCTAAATATTCTTCTTCAATCGTGGGAAGAAGGCGAAGAAAAGAAAATGGAAATCATCATCCAAAAACTAAGCAAGATATCAATGCAATTACTGTCTAAAAGTAAGTCTTACTGATGATAATCTTTTAAAACAGTGTTTAACATTTTTAACAAGTTTTAAAATATAAAAAGGATTTAGGATTTTGTTTCTCTTTCCTTGTAACTACTAGCTACAGCAATTTACAAACGTTGTGTTCAATGGCATGGGTAAATTGAAATAATTTTTGCTCTGCTCTCGCTAACAGATCGCAAAGCATTCGAAAATTTTAAAATTATTGTTCTTTTAAAAACTTTATTCAAACATATCTTTATATTTATGACAAATTAAGTGGTAAAAATATTGAAACAAAAACAATCATGTCAAGTATCTTGATGTACTTATATAAAAAAAATTATTTGACTGTCTTTTGTATTCAGTTTGTTATAATAAAAATAA